GCGCCCTGATTTCCAGCTGGGTTCAGCCAATGGGAGACTCTGTTGTGAAAATATGGAATAGGGGGAAGAGAGCAGCCAGGATGTGCAGGGAAGGGTGCAGTTCTTCGTGACCTGGGTAACCAACCTGTTCCCTGCATTAAATTCCTTCTGCTAGATATGCTTTAAGTTGTTTCTGTTTGCCTAGTTAGACTCTGACTGGAATACAAGCCATTTTCATTTTCTATTTGGTATGGTTATAAAATTCGCTGGGAGAGCTGTTGGCATACTGTGACCAGATTTCTGCAAGATTTTTGACAGATAATCTTATAATGTCCTTGTGAACAAAATGGGGAATTTAGATTGGATTATAAAACATTCTTAGATTGCTAAAGTTTATTAATGTTCAAATCAACCTGATGAAAGGGCTCTAAAAGTCTGCCCAAAGGCTCTGTCCTTAGCCATGTCCTATTCAACATTACCAAAGATTTGGATGAATACATAAAATGCAACTTTATCAAATGTGTCCATAACACAGAGCTGGAGGTTATGTAATTCAGAGTTGGAAAGGATAAATTTTATAAGGAAAAATGGAAACTCTCACAGCTATGTACAAGAAATAACATAACGTTATAGAATGGGAGAGACCAAGCTTCCCAGCATTTTAGGTGGGTAAAGAAATCCAAGATTTTCATTGACCACACGCCAGAAGTATGAGTTGGTTTTTGTTTTGTTTTGTTTTGTTTTGTTTTTAAAGTGACAGAGGGGAGATCCATCTTTGGGCCCATTAGAAGATAAGTATATCCCTGTTAGCTGACAAGTACACAATTCTGCTTCTCATGTAAAGCATTATGGGAAAGCTAGGAACTTACTCTGAGAAAGATATAGCTAAATCCATGTTTGCCGACCCTTGTAAAGCTTTATGTGTAAAGTGTTGTGTCTGCACACACTTATTCACTTTTGCATCACAACAACCCAGTGGAGCATATATTGTTACCCCAGTTCTCAGGCTTTATTTCCTCATATGAATTCAAGTCAAAAATACATAGCTCACTGTGCTGTAACCTTAGGCAAGTGCAGTGGTTCTTGGTCACAAGCCCAACTTACTTCAAGAAAACCCAGTTCTCACTTCAGGATGCCATACTGCATTTAGGTAAGAGGGTCCCAACTTCTGAGAGGTCAGTAAGGCTTACATATTAAGGGAACTGAGATATCATGTCAGGAGAAGAGACTTATGGGAATATAACACCTGTCTCCCAGGATTTGATAGTCTGTCTTATGAGAGAAAGCGGATTACTTAACATGACTTCAGGGAATAACTAGTATGATGGAGTGATAATTTTTTCCTCAAAATTTTAAGTATTTCAGAGAGAACCACCCTCTAATACGCTCAGTGTCTTTGTGCAGAAAGTTGGATAATTAAGTCTAGGGAATATTGTAGTAAAGTGAATTTCCACATGGGGAAGAATGTTAAATTAGATTACCTAATATGACACCCAGCTCTGAGAGTCTGATTTGTGTTTATTTGGGTTTTTGGTTAGTGAGATTTATGATTTGTAGTTTTTGACTCGGAGTTATTTGTTTTATTTTTGTAGTTTCACTTCCAGCAATATAATTGTTTTTCTTATAATTTAGGATTAACATACTCTATTTGTGGGGGGAAAAAACCTTTTAAAGCCCAAAACAAGGAAGTAAAGCATGACTAGTGGCTGGTGTAATTACTGCCACAAGAAATATTATGCTATTTCCTGGAATGTGTCCCCAGAGTGAATGTCTGCATTTGTTCCATTTCATTCCTAGCTGTGGAATCCTATCAGGGATGATGAGGAGAATCATTTTGAAATATATTGAAGCAGAGAATGGAGTTTGCAAAGTATTATTAGGTTTGCTCAGAGGAACCTATGCAAATACAAACTATTGACATGCCACTATAAAACCCAGTGCCTGTTTGGGACATGGCTCCTGCAGGGAATTATTAAAGGTCGCCAGAGTGACAGTAGCTGAAAAACCATAAAATTTACCTTGAGGATGCCTTTCCAGGCTTCTTTCTAGAACTAGTATTGTGTCTGCTCCAATGTGGGAGAGTTCTTCAGTTAGGACTAGGATGATCGAGAAAGGAAAGTAAAAATTATTTCAAAATCACTGCAAAAACAGCACATTCTCCAATGAGAATAAAATACACAGGGAAGATTAAGTGTGTCAGTGTGTCAGAATTAAAATAACATTTTTGCTTGATCTTACTTCTGGTAAGTTTTTGCTAAAGGGGAGTTCTCAGTCTTCATAACTACTTGCTAAGGTCTAAAAGTTAACTTACACGATTTCCCAAAAAAGATAGCTCCATTGTGAATCCATACCATCTCAGATCTTCCCTGTGAATAATCTGAAGAGCTGGGTGCTCTTGTCATGTTCGTTTTATGTTGGTTTTTTTTTTTTTTTTTTTAAACTTTCATGATCTGCCTCCTCGCACCCTTCAATTTCTTCTCAGGCTTACCAATTATAATTCTCACGGAAAGATCTGAGATGCATTGAAAATTCTAAGGGGAAGAATGAAGTGAAAGAAGATATCCTATTTAACTGAATCTCTTATCTATTTAAAAAATGAGTTTTAGGGATGCCTCAGTGGCTCAGTCAGTTTGACATCCGACTCTTTGGCTCAGGTGTGATCCCAGGGTTGTAGGATCAAGCTCCATGTCAAGCTCCACCCTGAGCATGGAGCCTGCTTAAGATTCTCAATCCCTCTGGGGCGCCTAGGTGGCTTAGTCGGTTAAGCGTCCGACTTTCGCTTGGGTCATGATCTCGCGGTTCGTGGGTTCGAGCCCTGCGTCGGGCTCTGTGCTGACTGCCAGCTCAGAGCCTGGAGCCTGTTTCAGAGTCTGTGACTCCCTCTCTCTCTGACCCTCCCCTGCTCACGCTGTCTCTCTCTCTCTCTCTCTCTCCTAGAAATAAATAAAACATTAAAAAAAAATTTAAAAAAAAAAAAAAAAAGATTCTCAATCCCTCTCTCTCTTTACCCCTTTCCCCTGCTTGCTCTCTCTTTCTCTCTCTCTCTCTCTCAAATTAAATTTAATTTCATTTAAAAAATTTTAATGAGTTTTATAGACATAACATTTCTGACAATTTGCCATTTGACACAGTGGTAATTTTTTTTCCTTAAATAGTTTATTATCAAGTTGGTTTCCATATAACACCCAGTGCCCATCCCAACAAGTGCCCTCCTCCATTCCCATCACCCCCCTTCCCCTCTCCCCCACTCCCATCAGCCCTCAGTTTGTTCTCTTTTAAGGTATCAATTTCCTAACTCACATGCTTGATTTAGGGGCTCAGCAAAACCCAATACTTTTTTCCCTCTAAGTTGCTAATACAAAATAGGTAAAATGAATAACGGAGAAATCTCCTGCTCTGCCCTTGGCCTAATCAGCATTGTCAGCTTCATGATGAATCCTCAGAGTCAGAGAAGGGAACTTACTGATTTTTTTTTTTTTTTTTTTGGTTACATAAATCAAGGCATTTACTCTGGTGGAGCTTCTGCTGCTGGTCTTTCATCTCCTTCAGGCATCTGGTGGCAGGCCTTACTGTGGCTGCAGAAGGGCTACCGTAGGTCTAGGCACGTCCGCAGCCGTTTTCACACCAGTATGACAGTGCCAGGTCTCCACAGCTCCTCTTTTCATCTTGATTTTGCTACAGAAGGAGCAAGCATACTTAGCACGCTGGCTCATTTCAATGTGCTTTACCATTTTCCTGAGAGAAGCAACACTAACAGGTCCCATATTGACCGATCATTCCAACTTTCTTGATGCTTTAACCATGTCCCCCCAAACTAAGTCTCAGCCCAGAGAATGATCTTTGGGGTCCTCCCATGGGGCCTGGCACTTGAGAGCCTTTCAGGAAATGATTATGAATGAAAATCCACATATTGAAAATAAATTCTACAATAAGCAGCAATTTCCCCTTTCAGAAAATAGCTTTAGATGGAATTTTCGAGGTACCTAGGAGCCGGAGAGGAAGATGGCAAGTGTTTCGTGTAAGGTCCTATGTGTGAAATTGGGGGAGTTTTAAAACATAACCAGATTGCTGCCAGATGTGTTTTGGTATTCAGAATTTTTCAGATTTCAGAAAAATGATATAGTACATGCATCTTATGCTATGCAGTTAATTCCCACAAGGCATAATGCAAATGCATGAAGATGCTGATAGCAAAAGCATATGAATAGTCACGTTAAGTGTGAATTAAGATGTTAAGCAATTTCACATTAGTTCTGGTCAGAATTTGCAGGCCAGTAAGTTCAGATTAGATCAAGTCTGCCATCAAATTAGTTAAAACAAAAAAAACCACCACTTAGTTTTCACTACTTTTGTGATCCTCAGATTATCTGTCAGCATCTGAGGCCTGTAACGCTTTTTTTTTATTAATCAGAATCTTCTGTAGTTATTTAACAAATCATCTACTCATTTCTAATTTCAAGTGGATAGGTACAAAATGTTGCTATTTTTCTCATTTCCCCAAGAAAAATGAAAAGGTAAACATCTAAACAGTCTGGGGATTATTTAATCAGTATTGCCATCAGTATATCATCTCACTTAAACCTCACAGAATCCTGTGAGACAACTGTTCCTGCCAACCTTTTTATTTTACAAAGACAGCCTAGCAGTGAGCAGTGAAATGTCTCATTTTAGGCCACAGAGTTAGCAAGTAGCAAAACTAAGACTCAAACTCAGGTCTTTCAACTCTAGAGCCCATCTTCTTTCTACTAAATTTGTGTTTTCATAGAAAAAGCTTCTGATGAAACTGGAAAATGAGAATTTGGGTTTGTGCTTGTCTAAAGTTTAATGAATGTATCATAATGCCTACAGCCTTTTAAAAATTTGAGTCATTTAAATTAGTTTGGCAAAAGTGGACTGATTATTGTAAAGTTTGTTTTGATTACTTTTTAAGAGGAATAGACTTTGATAGTTTAAGCTAATTTCAAATGTAGGATAATAAGAATATTTTTTGTCATTTTCCCATTTTTCTTTGAACCGTTTAGATGTGTCTGGCATCAGAGGGGGTTAAAATGGAGGACTCAAAACTAATGAAGGCAAAAGAATCAGAAGGTGGAAGAATTAAAGAATTGGAGAAGGGAAAGGAACAAAGAGAAGTAAAAATGGAGAAAACAGATGAAGCCAGGTCACAGAAGGAAGCAGAATTTGAAAAATCAGCTAAGGAAAATATAAGAGATTCTAAGGAACTAAGAAATTTTGAGGAGCTACAAATGGATGAGACAATGGATATAAAAATGGAAGATCCCAAAGAAATTAAAAAGGAAGAACTAGAAGAAGATCAAAAATGTAGTCACTTCCCAGATTTTTCTTATTCTGCCAGTAGCAAGATAATAATAAGTGATGTTCCCAGTAGAAAGGATCATATGTGTCATCCTCATGGAATTATGATCATTGAGGATCCCACAGCATTAAACAAACCAGAGAAGCTAAAAAAGAAGAAGAAAAAAAGTAAAATGGATCGACATGGAAATGATAAATCCACACCCAAGAAGGCTTGCAAAAAGAGGCAGTCTTCAGAGTCTGACATTGAGAGTGTTATATACACCATTGAAGCTGTTGCAAAGGGAGACTGGGGCATCGAGAAACTTGGAGAAACCCCTCGCAAGAAGGTCCGCACATCTTCAAGTGGCAAGGGAAGCATTTTGGATGCCAAGCCACCAAAGAAAAAAGTGAAATCAAGAGAGAAGAAAATGTCAAAGGAGAAATCCTCAGACACCACCAAAGAGTCAAGACCTCCAGATTTCATTAATATTTCTGCCAGCAAGAACATTTCTAGTGAGGTGCCAGAGGGTATAAAAGCAGAACCATTGACCCCCACAGAGGATGTGTTACCGCCCAGCCTATCGGGACAGGCCAAGCCTGAGGAAAGTGACTGTCACAGAAAAATAGAGACTTGTGGCTCCCGGAAATCTGAGAGGTCTTGCAAAGGTGCTCTTTATAAAACCCTGGTGTCTGAAGGCATGCTCACCTCTCTGCGAGCTAATGTTGACAGAGGTAAGTAACTCCTACACATCTGAAAAGAATATGGAAATCTAGCAATTTTCCCCTTTAGACTCATGGAGAAGAGCCACCATAAAGATCAGTGTGGCATCAAACAATATATTTGTACAGTTCTTTATTGTTTATAGACCATATATATGTGTCATTTTACCTACATGTTTTCTAGCACTGTCAAGGAGATTTTGTATTCGTTTTGTAGGTAAGTCTCAGGTTATGTATTCAAATAATTAAACCTTTCTTTTTTTTTTAAACTGGTATGGGCCGGCGTCTTGTATTGAAAGATCAATACTACATGTTTAAAGCTCTTAGAGTTTTAAAACTGAAGGAAAGAATATCCCAAATCAAGCAAATGTATTGGGCAGAATGTTGATCTATAGGCTCCAAAAGCAAATCATCTGTCTAGCCCTCTCCATTAGGTATTCAAAACTATAGTTGAAGGGAAGGGCTCTTTAAAACATTAAACCAGTTAATGTGTATATCTTTATTTCACAGAGTGTTTTATATAAATTCATCTGTTTTAAAATACAGCATCTAGCTAGGGGACTACCTCTTGCCACGCTAAATTCCAGTTTGGAGATGTCTGAGAAATGGGTCTAACAAGCCCTGAATGAAGATCCTTGGGAATACAGGGATATCATTCCAGTAAATCCAGGGGAAATTCGAATTAATAGTGCCCACCAGCAAAAGGCTTCCACACCTTAGTCTGATTCTCTAATGGAAAAGGTGGTAGTAGTCAGTCTGCCTCTTGAGTCACACAGTATATACAGTATACTGTATGTTGAGTTATAAGAAAACTTATCCCATAGCTGTACACTTTTGCATGTTGTGTTATTAAGGGTTGTCCATCATGAATCGCTTAGAGGACTCTGAAATTGAAATAGTTAAAATTGCATCATGCAAAAGATACCTAAGGGGTCAACAAATCACTTGTGAAGCAACCTCGTCCCAGTATACCAAGCACATTCTTTCTCTCAAATTCCCTTAGGGAAACGAAGCTCAGGAAAAGGAAACTCCTCGGACCACGAAGGGTGTTGGAATGAAGAAAGCTGGACGTTTAATCAGAGTGGGACCAGCGGGAGCAAGAAGTTCAAGAAGACCAAGCCAAAGGAAGATTCTCTCCTTAGGTAAGTGCCCGTGAATGCAGTCAGCACACTGCATAAACCCCAAGTGTGGTGGGTTTTCCAAGGTAAACATAAATCACTAACTGCTTCTCCTGGAGTATTCACTCATTCTATACTTGCTACCGTCTTAGCGAGCACGTGAGAGCACGGAATCCCAGCGTACCACAGGGTTCCTGCTGTTAACTCGGTTGTGTGAGTGACTGTGCCATTCACATTTTAGGTATAGTACAAACTATGTAGATTCGAGAGGTAGGCTTCAGTTTAAATTGAGGCCCGCCATGTATTGGTGGTATGGCATCGTAAATCCTTTAACATTGCTAGGACGCCTTTTTCCATCTGAGGTTTACAATGTTACGTAAGCATGTTTACATTTTGCCATTTTGCCTGCCGTATATACTTTAATATTTCTAAAGGTTATGTTTATATATTTATAAAATAATATGATAGCTCAAAAGTATAAAGTAAAATAAAATTATGTTTCTACCTCATCTAACCATTTGTGTTAAAACCATGTTCTGTTGCTCGAAGATAAAAATGTTAGATAGGCTCATCTGCTGCAGAGAATACTCAGTCACTCAGTTGTTCATTATGTGTTAAAATGCAGGATCAAGCAATAGCATATACATCAAGATAAAATCGTTAAGAATTACTTCATTTTTAATGTTATTCCAAATGCTCTTAATACCAATCTTAATATAAAACATTTTGTTACTTAGGAGATTCAGTACTTTATACTGGCGAGGAAAGTATCTGCATATTCAGTTGAACTGTTTTAAAAATCCTTTGAGATTTCTTATTAGCCCAATTTGAAAAGAATATATTGAATAGAAATAAGTACATTTTTACATTTTCCTTTTTTTTCCATAAGTGTGTTTAAAGGTATGCAAATTTCATGCATCGGAAGTATTGTATTTGGTTTATTCATAAGTATTTGCAGTTCAGTTAGTGGAATAATGTATTTTTTTCCTTGGAAGTTACAGTGCTTTAAAATCTGGTAATCCTAAGGCTCTAGGTCATCACAAAGGGGAGACTGGAATTTGCTAAATTCCTCAAGATTATTTACTTTAAGATGATATTTTTATAATTTTATGTATTTTTCTAATATTGTATAAGTGCAAAGTAGCTCAGATTAGTTTTGCTTACAAACTCTACTTATAAATAATAACATAAAAATTCTCATATTCATCATCATCAAATGATATTTTCAAATGCAGAATTTCCTTAAAAAGTGACCACTGAATGTCAGGACCAATGCTCTGTATCTTCTAGAACTACCGTGCCCTGTGGGTCTGCTCACTGAGAGAGGAGCGGGTCTTGCTGCAGACAGTATGGGGTCCTGGGGGAATGAGGCAGGAATTAAGACTCTCAGCAGAGAGGTCTCTGATGCTTCCATTAGAAACTGCTGACGCCGTGAGAGAGGTGTTTTTACCAGTCTTCTCTAGGAACAAGAAAAGTGAAACAATATTTTGAAAACCTACCTCTGAAAAGAGGTTGGTGTATTGGTTGTTTTTGTTTTGGTAATTTCTAAGAAAGTCACACGTAAGTAACTGGGAGTGTGGTTTTTCTATAGGCTTAAATCTTTGGTCCTGAACCTCTGGTCCTTCCTGCCCTCCCCACCCCCTGACACCCCCAACACACATAGGCATTTCAGAATTAGACTATCTGGGTCTGCTTTGTTTAGAACATATCAACATAGTGGATGAGCAGTGAGAAGTGCCAGTACCTATCAGTCTTCTCTGAGATTTCTAAATAGGCATTTTTAACCTCATTTATCACAGAAAATATGCTATTTGTTGCCAAGAAAAATTCACTTAGTATTGGCAGTTCTAATCTTATAGACCTCCCCCCAAAAACACACAGATGATTATTCTAGTTGAAAAAAGACAAGGGAAAACAAGTCCCAAGGAACCTTATGAGTTAAAATTCGTATTTTCATGATTTTCTTTTGATTTTTCAGATTATCTGAAAAAGTCACAAATTATAGGCACCTTTCTGATAGTATCTGATTACTATCTGATTTTCCATTAGTATGAATGTTTCTTAACTGAATGGAAAAGCTGATTTTATTGATGAAGCAGTATCACTCCTACCACCTACCGCCCTCCTTTTTAAAAAATTTTTTTTTGGGGCGCCTGGGTGGCTTAGTCGGTTAAGCGCCCGACTTTCGCTTAGGTCATGATCTCGCGGTTCGTGGGTTCGGGCCCCGCGTCAGGCTCTGTGCTGACTGCCAGCTCGGAGCCTGGAGCCTTTTTCAGTCTGTGACTCCCTCTCTCTCTGACCCTCCCCTGCTCACGCTGTCTCTCTCTCTCTCTCTCTCTCTCCTAGAAATAAATAAAAACATTAAAAAAAAAAAATTTTTTTTTGTTTTTAATTTTTGAGGGAGAGAATGTGAAGAGGGACAGAGAGAGAGAAACAGAGGATCTGAAGCAGGCTCTGCACTGTCAGCACAGAGCCCTACACAGGGCTCAAACCCATGAACTATGAGATCATTACCTGAGCCAAAATTGGTGCTTAGCTGACTGAGACACCCAGGCGTCTGCCCTCCCTGCTTTGATAGGACTAATTAATGGCCTTTTTTCCATTGATCATTCTGTGGTCATTGGACTATCTTGTCTCTGTTCCCCAACTTTTGTATATTCTTCCCAACAGAACAGTTTTTTTTTTTTTTTAATGTTTTATTTCTGTGAGAGAGAGAGAGAGAGAGCATGAGCAGGGGAGGATGAGAGAGGGAGACACAGAATCTGAAACAGGCTCCAGGCTCTGAACTAGCTGTCAGCACAGAGCCCGACGCGGGCCCAAACCCATGAACCGTGAGATCATGATCTGAGCTGAAGTTGGACGCTTAACTGAGCCACCCAGGCACCCCCAAACAGAACAGTTTTAAGTGGACACACCTCAAGTACATCCCTAACACATTAGCTATTAGTTTCTTGTAAGTTGACTCAAGGCTGCCTCCTCTCCAGAATGCCTTCCATTCTCCATCTGGCACACGCCTCCATTCTGCTGCAGCTTCTCCCATTGGTTTGGGTTTCATCTTAGTTAATAAGTCTCAGTAAGTGGAAGTCAGCAGCCAGCAAGAATCCAGCAGGCAGGCAGCCATTGCTGCATGGGGGCCTTAGAAACCAGCAGAAGCAGCCCAAGGATTTCCCAACTTTGCCAGTGCCGTTTCTGCAGTCATTCCTGGTTTGCATGAAAGTGGTGCCACCTGTCTGCCAGCGTGTTCATTGAAAACTGGCTTTCTTTGTCATTGAGTGGTTTATCACCATCCCAGTCAACTCTCCAGAATTTGTTTTAATGATACTCAGAATTTTTGTTTGTGTTTTCTTTGTATGTAGGTATGTTTTAAACAAGTACTAGTCAATAAATACATTTTTTAAAAATCTTACAAAATTACTGATGGTGATACCTCATCACCAGTAAACTTGCCTACACATACACACACACACCCCTTTAGAATAAGAAACTTGTGTGGATGGAACATGCTTTGTATTGAACTTAATGAAAAATGTCCATGTCAATGGAAAGAACTTCAAAAATATTCTTATCTTTTAAATAATATCTCTGCTTTTAAGGTAACAAGACAACCTTTCTTGTGAGTTGACTGAGAAGACTGGGCTGGTAAATCTTCTCAAGCATTTCTGAAAAGATATTTTTTTGTCCTTGCACAGAGTTTATTAGTAGTGCCCTAATTCTCAGGGACCCTGTTTCAAAATGGAGTATCTTAAACTAGGTCTCGTATCATTTTCTGTTTAAATATTTATGTCACATGCTGATTGATTCCATCCCCCACTCTCTTATTAGCTCAGCAAAGCTGGATGAAGAATTTGAAAAAAAATTCAACAGCCTCCCTCAATACAGTCCTGTTACATTTGACCGGAAATGTGTACCTATCCCAAGAAAAAAGAAGAAGACTGGAAACATGGCCTCAGAACCGACTAAAACCAGCAAAGGTTAGACGTGGGCTCCACCGCCTGCAGTGTCAGCATCCCCACCCCCTTCTAAGTTTCTACAACTCCCTTTAGATACCTAACTGGATGTAGTCTGAGGCAGTGAGACAGCAGCCATGGGAATTTTAGCTTGCTTTCCAGGGTTGTTTTGGCTCCCACCTCACTTCTTTCTCCCTTCTTTCCCTCCTCATCCTCCTCAGCCTCTGTTCTTTGGCATCCCAGCCTGCGCATTTGCCCTTAAATGTGTAGCTTTTTTGAAAATGTTACACATGGTCTCTGACCTTCTGGTCTCCAGAATTCTAATCTGGAGATGTTGAGCTTTTCTTGAGCAGAAACTGTTGGCCGAGCCTCACTCTTCTATTCGCTCTATCTGTGACAAGTTGAACTCTGGGACTATGAAATTGTTCTGTTTGCCTAATAAGAAGACTCCATTCTTTACCGGCAGTATGAACCAAATGAAATTAATGCTCTGGCAATACCTTTAAATTGCTTTTGTTAAGTTTAAGAAAAATAATACCTAGCATATTTATTTTGAAGAGTAACAGTCTTCCCGTGTATATAAGGGAAGCTTTTACATTATAGGCATGACTTTGGTGGATCTCCACATTCATCAAGGGCAACACCGTTCGAAGAGCGGTACTAAAGAGCGTGAGACCGCCTTTACACGTGGGGCAGGGGCTGGGTTCTAAACATCTGCTCCGGACATTCAAGCACAATGAGGGACTGTCCTACCCAAATGACAGCATTGCTCTTATTAAGAATCCTGTCTTCTGATTTGGGAAAAATGTATCTATAGTTTTCCATACAGATGTCATTCCACTTGTAACTTCCTGTGAGGACAGTAAATGGAGAGCTGAAGAACCAGTGTGGCCAAGTTTTCGTTGCTTGCAGTATGCGATGGAAGAGTTTTTGTAATTTACACTATACAAGTGGCTGCCTCCTGCCGGTTCCATGTCAGATCAGATGAATTCCCTTTTTGTGTGCATTTTAGATGGAAGGATGGGTAGATACAAGATGATGTATCTCTTTACATAAATCTTGCTAAATTCTAGCATTCGTGGATAATGATCAGTGATAAATATTAATGAGCAGATACAATTGCATGGATTTAGAGGGACTATATAAGGTCTAGAAAAAATTATAGTTTCCTTGAAGAAACTTAAATCTTTGTCCCTCTAGACCAAAAACCTCCTTTGCACACCACAGTTGATGCTACCGAGGAGGGTCGCTTCGTGATCTGTATCTCAAGATAGATCTGTATGGCTGAAGAAAATTCTCCTTTCGTGATTAAAGGTGGAGAGGAACATAAAAGTGATTTCAGAATTAGCTTGGTTTTCCTCTGTGGTCAATAAAAACAAGTCTAGTGAATAAAGAACTAAAAAAGAAATGTTGCATCACCAAGTTTGCTCATCTGGGAAAATAAAGTAGGGTTATATCGAGATCTTCCTAGATAAGTAGGAAAGAAATAAAGTAGCCTTGTTGACAGATAGGTAGCTGAACACTGTAATGGATTACCAATGAAATGACAGTCGTTGTGCCCTAGAGATATCTAGGAATAGGCAAAGTAGTCCATGAGCCCAAAGATGCCAGATATCATGAGCTCCCATAATTCTTGGATTTAAAGTTGCTGATAAATACCTGACAAGCCAATAAAATGGAACTTAATTGATTGATGTGCAGGATGTATTCTCTTCCTCCACTCCTGATAGTTGGAGACATTCATTTTAGAGCCCTGAAGCTGGCCAAATTATCTATCAGGGAATGTAACAATAGATTTATTTTTGTAAAGCTATAAAACCGAGTGAGGATCTATTTTCATGAGACCTTCTCTTGGGTCTTAGTTATCTGTTATATGTTTTTCCTCTCCCAGCTGAGATTAACAGTATTTCTTTTGATGTGAAATAGCTTTTTGGAGCCTTGGATTATACTTCATACAATATCATCTTAACTCTTCTTTGATGCCTCTCAAGCCCAAAGTCACTGGTTCTTACAGTATATCAGTAATTACGTGGGTGGGAAGTCTTTCAAGACTTTAGATTTTGCTCTGCATTCTGACTCATGGAGCAAAATGCAGTTAAAATCAAGCAAAAACTAAATAATATATTCTCTATTTAGCAAACTAAAGAAATAGTATTTGTAACTAATTGTAATTTGGCATTAGCCTCACCAGTGTACTATCCCACAAGTTATTAATGAAATTATCATACCAGCTGTGGTGTAATTGCCTGATCTTTAGAGGATAGAGAAGATTGTTTTCTTAGACTCTAGACTCTTTGCATCTGTGCATAATGAATTGTTCAAAGTGAAAACTGTGTATGAGATCATTAGTTTATTAGCAAAAGAGCATGTGTCCATAGGAAACCTCATTTCTTCTCCAACAATTTAGCATTTTGCCTTTATTTTCTTCTGTGTTTATCATTCAACATTTATTATATTATTTTCCTGCCTTATACTAGGTACTTTTTTTAGCTACTCCAGGTTATATAAAATATACAGAATTTTTCTGAAATGGATTATCTAGAGAAAATGGTTATGTATGTATGCATTTATAGTTATATGTCTCAACAACATAGCATCTGCTTGGGTTTATGATTGTTTTCTCCTTATTTCTGTATTTCCAAGGAGTCTCTTCCCCTTCTCCATTGTCCTCTCCACTATTTTTGCCCTGTCCCTCATGTCTGTGTAGCGGGTCTTGTGAGAAATTCTACAACAGGGGCTCCTGGGTGACTCAGTTAAGCGTCCGACTCTTGATTTCAGCTCAGCTCATGATCTCGTGGTGAGATCAAGCCCCACTTCAGACTCTGCGTGGACAGGATGGCTCCTGCTTGTGATTCTCTCCCTCTCTCTGCCCCTCCCCCACTCATGTGTGTGTGCTCTGTCTGTCTCTTTCAAAATGAATAAATATAAACTTTAAAGAAGAAACCTCTACAACAAAAAGGGATGAACATTGCTAAATGCCACCTTCCTCTAACTGGGCTCAGGCTACTGTATAGTAGGCAGAGCACGATAACTTAGGAAAAGAATTTCCCTTGCTTCTAAGAACAAATTACCCAGTAACTTGTAATGCATCTAAGTTCTAGTACAGTTCAGCTGAGGCAGCTCAGGCCTGTAATGGTTTCTGGTTTATCTCCCTTAGTTACTTGTATGTATTCAAATAAAAGCTTTAAATTATAAGTCTAAATTTAATTATAACTTAAGGGATAGGTTTTGACACAGTATTTTAAGTATATTGTTAATTTATGAAACACTTTTTACAAAAGTACCAGAAGTCAGAGTGCTGTACAGAATAGTAATTTTCAGACAAAGTCAGGTCATGAAGAAAAAGTTAATTGAGTTGAACTTAGAGTGTTTAAATTATGCCCCAGCTTGACCCTTGACTTCACTTTTCCCCTGTATCTCTTCAATCTTCCCACATTGTTCCTTAGCCCATTATCAAACATGCTGTTGATCCTCATATTTTAAGATTGGAATTCCAAATGATTAAGGATTTGCTATTTTAAAAAATCACTATGATAATAAAAGACTCAGGTTTTATAAAACTAAAGTTTGAAGACAGAAACCCCGGTTTGGGATTGAGCTATACTGAGGCTGCATTCAGTGCTAGAGGACCTAGTGCTAATGTCAGCCAGCCCAGGCCTTCCTGTCAAGAAGTTAGAGCTTCCCGGTTGGGCAGAACTCTGCCCTGTTAACTGAGAGTCTTCATTGCCACCAATGTTTTCAGGAACACGGGGATAGCACATTTGCATATGTAAAAGGTGTACCTAACATAATCCTGAGGACAGTCACAAGTCCTGCATGTCCGGCTCAGTGAGGTTGCTCCTTCCACCACCACACACACCCCACACCCCCACCGTTGAATCCTAACTTGACTGTGGTTGGCTTACCCAGACTTCCTCAAGTCAGCAGATCCACACGCCCAGTAGCTGGGAGCACTTTGCTATAATATAAACTATCACAAAGGAATTTATTGTTTCATTGGTTATTCATTATTTGTGTGTCTGTTACAAAAATGATAGCCTTGTTTTAGAATAAAACTTCCGCTTTTTTTTATAGCTTAGAAACATGAAACCATAGAACCAGGGCATAAGTCACCACCATTTGAGTGATGTGTAACATTTTTCCCTACAACAGTTTTTAAAAGTAAGATTTACTAAATCACCTTACCTGCTGGCCTTGAAAAATTATCATACCTGGCTAATACTGAACTGGCTCCTGTGTCACTACAGCTCTTTACCCCTCAAAGTGTCCTATGTCACTACAGCTCCTTACCATGAACAAGATTAATGTTTTGGAAAGGGTGTTGGAAACTTATCTGTGGCACCCCGCTTACCCTCTCAGGTGGAGGTTTTCTGTTTTCTACCCAGCTATGAAGTTAGGTGCAGAGGAGCTAGATATCCTCAAAATACAGGCCATCCTGCCCAAAAATTTAAGGTAGAGTCCTAAGCTAGTTATTATGCCAGCAACAAGTGATTTTTGTCGTAAGGAAGTAGAAGCTGATTCAAACGCTCCTTCAAGAAATTTGGTTTGGAGATGAGGGAAAGAAATGGAATCAGAACTAAACTAGTTTAGTGAAAGACCATTGCACTTTTTTTTAAGTAATCTCTTCCCCCAGTGGGGGGCTTAACCTTACAACCTCAAGATCAAGAGTTGCATGCTTTACCAATGGAGCCAGCCAGGCACCCCCCATTGCAACTTTTTTTTGCTTTCTGAACAACACCTTCTAAAACTCTCCTCTGCTTTTCACTTCCTACCTTCTTTTCCCTCCATGTATGTTTCTACATTAATATAATTAACTAAAGGGGAAAATGGCAATAAATTTCATTATATTTGCTATTATAAATTTTGGCTTTCTTTCCTTTAGACAAAATACCACACATATGTACCATAGTGGTGAGCAGAAATCAAATTGTTCATTTTTTGACTCTGAAAGTGCTGCTTCCCAGTGACTGCAATGATATCTTCTCTGTTGCTCCCTTCAAGTTTTGTCACTTTCTTTTTTATAT